ATGTATGCGTACTATATACTTCATAATATCAAATAGGAAGCCCCAATGGTTGCCTGTGATCAATTAGTTGATATATGTTCTGCTTTTAGCCGATTCATATATTGCTTTATATATTTCTCTTGTGACAAGTGGATGTATGATTGTTTGTGAGGAGAGGTAAGGAGAAAATCAAGAAGATAGGTAAGACTAGGCGAGCCATTAGTACATAATTAATTGAGTATTAATTATTTTAAATTTTAAAAAATGAATTTGTATGGTTTTTAGAGTAGCTTTTATATATAAATTTTTACAAAAGACAAATCGTTTAGTAGTTCGGACAACGTACACGTGGAAAATGAGGTAAATCTTCTCTCAATCTTCAAGTGAAGAACACGGGGGATGAAAAAGTTTTAAACTACTTTTATTCAGACTCTCTACAATTATGCGATAAGTTAATTTATGTATTCAATTTTAAACATCCGCAGTGAAACAGTGCTTAAATATTGCTGCTGAGAATTATCTGATCAAAGCAATTTATAACTGTAAAATACTTGTGGGAAAGAAGAAAGATATCCAGAAGCTCATGCAAAATGTGAGAGGGACAATGCATAGAACCCGACTTTATCTGCACTTTGCTCTGAGGATTGTTCTCTGAAACCAAAAACCACTGGTGCAAAATAGTAGTACTACTCAACCAGCCAAACCTTTACCAAAGTGAAAAGTCACCATGACGTTCGCCTGTTCTTGCAGCAGTGCACGTACCCCTGCTCTGAGCGCATCAGGCTCCTCTACCTTCAAAGGTGTGAGCCTTTCTCACTAACATGTAGGCCCATATGGGCCCGATGAACCCCAGGTCCACCTGTTAGTGACAAAGGTATGGTGTCTTTGAAAGCAGATGATCTTAATCCGCTCTGAACACGCGCTCGGCTGGTTGGCCTGCGAAAGACATGCTTCTCTTATCTCCCTTTTCTCTGATCGTTGTCGCTGACTCTCTTAGGTCTCAACCTAGGTAGGAGTCTAGAAGAGGAGACACGGACTCATATTGGAGGCCGGGGGCTGCTGTTGTCGTGTGGACAGCGAATCGCCAAATTCAGGTGGCGACCGACGTTCGAGTTGTGTTGTCCCAGAGGAATTTAGATTGAGTGATTTGAGTCGAACACGTCGTGCGTGAGGGACTGTAGTGTTGGAACAAAAATTAGGATGAAGAACACAACGTGACACATACGGATGAAGGCGACGGAGGAAACTCCTGGTAGAAACAAGTGGGTCCAAAGATGCAGGCGCAGCGGTAACGCGGAAAAGGACAACTTACCAGAGCCATGGTAAAAGATGGCTGCTACAGTACGAGATATACCGTTAGAATGATACACTTTAATAAACCTTTATCTTTTCTCTATCTACCTGAGTAACCACACATAAAATAAAACGAAGCAGCAGCGCTCCCCCTTGCTCCCTCGCTCATCCACATCAATTGCAAGGAAGGGTGGAGGCATCAGAAGAGGAAGGGTGAAGAAGAGCCAATGGCAGGTCCATCACCAGGCGACCAAAAAGCAATGACATGTGTCCCCTCTCTCCTCGACTTGATACCAAGTATCTGGGCAATGACATGTGTCCCCTCTCTTCTTGACTTGATACCAAGTACCTGGACGTACTAGACCTTGGTATCGAGTGTCTGGTACCACCATGGTACCCAAGTATCAAGCATGATACTTATAGGTATCACCTATGATATCGCTAGGTATCATGATACTACTGGAGTATCACTGGGATATTCAAAAGGATATCCATGTATCAAGAGAAAACTCAAGACAAATCAACATAAAGTAATTTCAATTCTAAAAAATCATATGTTTATCAAGAGAGGGCTCAATAAAAACCAATAAGGGAAATCGATTCCAGAAAAAAGTCATCATAACTATAGAAACACCCATAAAATATGTAGAAAACCCCACATCAAACCCTAAAACAAGCCAATGCAGGAGCTTGAGGGTCACGAGCCCAGATCTTGGTCTAAAGATCTGCACCACAAAGAGGCCTTGTCCTTGATGATGGTGACCTCGTCGACGATGGCGACATCTTGGAACGTGGTGAGCAACTCCACCTCCGTCATGTGCTCGGGCACCTACCCCACTAACAGCTTCGCGATCTCCTCCTCTAATCCGTTCACACCTCCACCAGCAGCAACAACGGCGATGGAGACGGTAGCTTCCTCGACGCCCGACGCGCCACCCCGCACGGCCAGCTGCCATCGTGGCCTCCGTGCTCATGAGGGTGTTAGTCAGAGAGAGTGGAGGGGAAGGGGAAGAGATAAAGGAGAGGATAAGATTGAATAGGTGGTGTGAGGAGTGAGGGCAAGATATTTACTAGTAGTAGTTATCCCATGTCTATGGGACTTCGTTCCCTAGATTTTCTGATGGTAAAAACATCTTCAATTTTTATAATAGCAGAGGATAGAGATATATTAAGGGAAAAAAATATGAATTATCCCCCTGAACTATTACGGTCGATTGAATTACCCCCCCAAAAAAAACTCAAATACCATACGTTTTATACCCTCAATTATTCAAACCAGATAAATAACCCCCCTGAGCACTATTTTAGGTTGTTTTGACCTAAGCTTGCACATGTGACGCCAATGTGGCAATCCAGTCAGCAAAGAAAATAGAAAAAAAGCATGGGCCCACATGTAATCTCCCCCAGTCAAGCCATCCCTCCCTTGCTCTATCTCTCTCTGCAGTCTACACCTAAGGCAGGAGAATACGAGAAGGCGGCTGAGGAGGGGCTTGGAGCGATGGCTCCAGATCCACCTCCAGCTGTGGACGCAGTGGCGGCAGAGGAAAAATCGCGTGGCGCCGTCCCAGCGGATTTGGCAGTGAGCTCAGGGAGCCATAGTGATGTCGGCTTCGTCATCGTCGTCGCCCTTGGAGACGTACCTGCGTGGCGCCCCACCGACGCATGTGGGGATGACGTCAAAGGCGGGAAGCGAGGTGGTGGCGGCGGCGCAGGGGCGTGGGGAGGGGGGCGTGGAGACGCCGTTACTGCTGGCGAACATCCTCGATTGGTCGAAGATCCTTGGCATGGAGTATGACGGCAGGGGAGCACGGGCGCGGACGCGGCGCGGTGACTGTTGGATGAGCGCGGCGACGAGGAGTTCCGCTGGGGTAGGGGCTAGGTCCCGCACACGAGCTCCTCCTTTGCCGGGAGCGCATCGACGCATCCTTCTCCGCCCGCAAGGGCGCCGGCCGCACGCTCAAGGGCCGTGACCTCTGCCATATGCGCAACGCCATCTGGGAGAAGACCGGCTTCTAGGACTAATGCCTCTACTCCACCACTGCCGCTGTCGTGATCCTCTCCATCAAAGAGGACCTAGTTGCCGCAGTCGCCCCAGTTGTGCCCGCCGCTGCGCCTGGAGCTTTGGCCCGCCTCCCCAGCCACTCGTGTGAGCTTCGGCCTCTGCCACCGCTGCCGCAACCTTCGTGCGAGCGCGAGCTCCGACTCAGTCGGCTGCCCCCGCTCGTTGCAGGCTGCGGCAAGGGGAGGGAGTGCCCGGAGCTTCGGCGCCTACCGTCGGGCCAGCCACCCTAGCCACTCTTGTGAGTTTCAGCTCCGCCACCGCTGCTGCAACCTTCATGTGAGCGCGAGCTCCGACTTTGCTGGTCGCCGCCGCTCGTTGCAGCAAGGGAGGGAGAAGAGAGAGAGAGAGGAGGGAGGAGAGTCTTAAAGGTGGGGTCCACACCATTTTTTAAAAAGAAATTAACTGGACTGTCACGTAGGACTAAAACCACTCTAGATTGAGCCGGGGGTTATTTGTCCGGTTTGTATAGTTAAAGGGGGTAATTCAATGTACCATGATAGTTCATGGGGTAATTCGTACTTTTTTCTATATTAAAATAACAACATAATTTTAAATTATGTACAAATGATCAAACTAACCGGTGTGTATCTCCTATGCTCACGAGATGACCAAAACACTTCTTTGTTTAACCAAAACTGATTGATCGATCTCACCTGCGCGTTCGTGCAAGTGCCTCCCAAGAGTTTGTTCGTCGCCGCCAAGGAGAAGGCCCGAAAGGATGACCAAAGTCCTGCTCGGTCCTCCACGCGCTCATCGAGCCATTATCACCTCCGCCAAGGTTCACAAAACCAATCGGTTTTCGTGTAAACCGGCCGGTTTTCGTGAAACCGCTAGTTATTGGTTTGTGGGAGTTAATCTGTAGTAGTCTATTTTCGTATGGCGTTGACCCAAAGTCATTGGTCTTTACTGATTTTTGCTAAACTAGTGAGGAGCGTTTTTCACTTCGAAGACAAAAAGGTAAACCCTGACCTCCGCTCTTTTATCGGCAACAGGCAAATCAACGAATGAGGATATCCAGATAGAGCATGAACCATAGTGGCATAGTGCCAAGATTTGCACTAGCAAGCCTAGAACAGTAGGTACCAGGCAAACGAAGCAATCGGTTAGCGTCCAGGATCACCTCCAGCCTCCAGGTACGGCGTTCTCCTGGAGACCAGAATGGATGTGTACGAAAGAGATGATAATATTATAGCTGTTTGGTTGGAGGTAGTTTTTAGAAGGGATTGGAAGTTTAGAGGAATAAGGTTATTAAGTGTTTTGTTTGGTTGAGAGACATGAGAATTTTGTTAGAATGGAGATGGTGAATTGAGGAAGGAACTCCCTCCTTTTCAATATCTGGGTAGGGGCAGGTAATTGGGAGGGAATACCTTCTTTACTTTATCTAAGCAAAATCTCAGCCATCCGTTTTTATTAATGACCTAATCTCCAACTAAACTCCCTATCAATTTCCATCACCTCTACCAAACAATATATTGAGATTAAAAATCAAATTCTCATTTTAGTCCCATCATCAAATTTTTTGTCTAAACTACAATCTCATTATATCGAGTTACCAAACAAACCGAGAATATGAGAAGCCGCCGCCGCAAAGAAGCCACGAGACCAAGGATCGGCGCGCACTCCAATTATTAATAGACGATTGCAGTGCACCGAAAGAAAGCGACCAGATCAGACTCCATCCACCCGCGGAACGGCGCCAACGCAATGGACGCACTCCCCACGCGATCCCAGCCCTCCGCCCGCACGCGCGCTCGTCCGCCACGCCCTCCGCTTCCGCTCCACTCTTCTCCTCTCCCGCGCGCCACGCCCTCCCTCCCCTTCCCCTTCCTTTCGCCTCCTCACAAAACCAACGCGCCGCCGTCGCCCACAGATATTCCCCCCGCTTTTTTCTTTAACCCATGGCCTCTCTCGTCGCCACCACCCGAAAACTCCAGAACCCGATTCCGTCCCGTTTCCCTTTCTATATTACGTGGAGTAGCCGGGTGGGCAGATCGCTTCTCGAGCATCTCCGCCGCGAGGGAGCATGTGCCATCCTGGGCTGCCGCCTCTGCCGCCGGGGTGCGAGGTCAAGCGGCGGAGGGCGCCGCCGGTGGCGCGAGTGGGTTCCCCGCCGCCCGTGCCGCGGCGGGAGCAGCCTCATCAGGCTCAGCCGCACCACTACTGCGTGTGCTCGCCCACGGCGCACCGCGGGTCGTTCCGCTGCCGCTGGCACCGCCGCGGCTACGAGTGGGGCGCTGGCCGCCGCAGGAGCGTGGCGCCGTAGGCAAAAGCCGTCTGGTGACGCGTGCGCGGATGGTGGCACCTGCTGGCCGCCTCGCCGGCGTACAAGTGTACAACTGCTATTCTCAGCTCCCTCAGGGCGTCTCCTTGTGCATCAATTGCTCGTGTGTTTGTACAGAGTGTATAGTTGTTAGAACTCAAAAGGAAAGACAATTATACAAGTTTGTGCATTACTCTCTAGTAGTCTGTACAGTTGTTATATTTCATTCGGAAGTACGTGCATTGGTGAATCATACCATAAGAATAGCAATCGTGTATACTCCGGCCATTAAAATGCCGTCAAAATTCAGTTCATGCATATACACAAGCTATATATCACCGCGAGAAAGAATAATACTATAAGAGAGTGTAACTAATTCTAGCTGTCAGTCCATTGTGATCCGGCCTGGCCCTCCCTTCAGTGAGCGGTACAAAGGTCTGGATCGCTTGAAGCCGAATATGTCAGTGATTCGGTAAGTTTTGGGTGTATCAGCTTCAGCAATGGCCTTCTTGAACTCTGCCAAATGTTCGCCGCCGAAGACTTGCACGCTTACAGTTTTCCTTTGAGGGGCACCAAGTCTTATATGCTGATCAAAAAATTCGATGAATTCTTCTTTCTTCAGCTCTCTTAGAAGAGCTACCTGCAGAACAGTTAAATGCACAACTCTATCATATGCTTCCTGTAAATAAATTTTACCAAGTTTAATCTGTTCTTGATTTTTTTTTTGTTAACCAATAACTTGTTTTCATTAATTCGATACATTTTTTCCAACAATTAACTGTTTGCTGAAAACAGAGCACTAACCTCAGACTCGACCCTGTCAAACTTGAGAGTTCCTGCCTCAATCTCTCCCCAATAGAAGTGGGATTCCTCCCACAAATTTTTGAATTTCTCCAGTTTCGAATCGACAAGTGATTTTACATTCCTCTACAAAAAGAATGCCATATGTCAATACCCCAGCCGCATTGATGTGTAAAGAACCACCTAGTAGTAATGTGCTCCAACTGAGTACATCTAGTGATCAAAATACTATAGAGCATACTATATCACTGCTCTTTTATCGATTACAACCCCTCCAGATATTGTATACAATTGTGCATGTGGAAGTTTACCGCACAGAAATGAATGTTTAAAAGAACATGTGAGCACTTAAGGAAGATAAAAGAAAGGAAGTTTCATGAAAGTTTGGAAATCTTGAAAACTCGATTCAACGAGGCTACAAACCTTAAAATCCTTGTCTGACAATTCATGAATTTTGCTTTCAAACATCTTGAAGAATTCATCAATCCTAGCATCAAGATGTGAAGGATCCTAGGCATTCAACATAAGATCAGTTAGAGAAAGCAGTAAACAACAATCATACTACTATCAATTACTCTAGCCTTGAACCTGTACCTTTACTGTGGACTGAATAACAACCTCGAGTGCCCAGACTCCACAATCAGATCTGATGAACGAGGATATTCATTGTAAGCTAGGATTTAAATGGTCAACCTCATAGGAAATATTTATGTATCTCCTAATATGGCAAAGTAAGAAGCAACAAGTCTAAGGCAAACCTCTGCCGCTCACCTTAAAGAAAGACCTGCTATATAGCCAAGCTGCTCAACAGTTCGCAGCTGGTTGAAGGCAGGCTGGCTCGCAATTAAAGCAAACAGTTGAAGTTTGATATTTGAAAGGGCATCGTCCAGATGAACCTGAATATAAACATGCTTAGCATCCTCACATGCTTCTTTCTACATAACATCAACATTTTTTACTTTTCAAACTTCAAATTATTGAGACATCACACGACTTGTAAAATAATAGCCCTCATTAGAAGTTAATTTTCTTCCCCTCAAAGAAAAAACTGAAAATGGGGCCCCAAAAAGCTAGACTTTACATCTTAAACTCATCAAAACTCACAAATTGCATCCTTGTGCTCCTTTTTTTTATGTCAAATTTTGTACTCACAACCCACAAATCGCATCTTCAAGCATATGCCCTAGTTCTCCAAAAAGTATCAATAGAACATAATCAAACCTGTCCTTCTGATTCAGTCCGGCAAAGCCACTGAAGGAAACAATGTGTCATGTCCCTTGTGCTGGTTCAGTCACAAGCAACCTACTTCTTAACTTCAATCAGTGCTAAGCGACCAAGAGTGAAGTGTCTATGAATTCTGTTAATTCTATAAATTTTTAATATTCTTATTTCAGATTTTTATTAAATTTGACAGTCTGTAAGCAACAAGATTCCTGACAAACAATACTAGAAAAAGAGTGGCAATGATTTTGTTGCAGGGTATGTTTTTCAAGAATAGTTAAAGAGCAAATAGGAGACGATGATTCATTGAGTAGAGCGATGATTATATCCATGAGTCTGACCCTCCCATTTCTTTCAGGGGCATATAGTAAAAAGGAGTAGCACAAATGACAGGAGCAAAACCAAGTGTCACCACGCACATTCCATATAAAATCACAAACATTAGTTCCAGCAAAAGGAATTTAATTTAATTGACTTGGATCTGAAGTGGAATAAACAAATTATATGACTATGGGCAGTACATCTGTGAAACAGATACCTTTTGACTAGACAAGAGATGCCCCCATTGTTGCTCGTATAAGCTACAGTTATTGACGAATTCTTTTTCATTCTAGGCGAAATTGTTCAGGAATTTCACACTAACAGATTGTTTTGATCAAGTAATTGTACTTTGAATTAGTTTTATGGTTGAATTTGAGTACTTCATATTACTTTGCATGCAAGTACGACATGTAATAATATTTTTAGCAATTAGAAGTAGGTAACTCTCAAGTCTACTGAATTTTAGGAACAAGTTCAACAATTTGTAATCAATTTGGTCACCATTAGTTCTGAAGTTACTGATCATGGATCAGTAGTTGCTTTCGTTAATAGTAGTTGCATTGCATCCCTTGCACTAAAGATCAAGCCACAGGGACATTTACCTGAATATATTGGACCACTGATGAATTTTCATTCTTCTGATTTAAGCCCTCAATTTGGTGGTAGCATTTTAACTCATTTTCAAGCATGATAACCCTTTTAATCAGATATTGTGATGGAGACATTGATTTGAACACAGAATTAGGGGTATTGAATATAGTATCTTCAATCTCCTGGACAATAGATGTTGCCTCATTTGGTTCAATGTTCCCTACAAGGAGAAAAGTTAATCAATAAGTATGACTGGAAATTCATCCTGTTACAGTCCATTGCAAATATATCTACATGATGAATCGACTAACAAGAACTTCTGCCTAACCATGAATATAGCATTCCAAAAATGTCTTCGATAGCAAATGTGGCATGAACTTTGCAAGAGAATCTGGTTCAAGCTTAGAAAGAGCCTCAAGTTTCTCAGCCAAAGGCCATTTCTGATCCTCCAATATCAACGAGAGATAGTATGAAGCTTGAGAGTATGGTTGGCTGAACTTGAAATTTTGGTAGTCCTTGACAGCAGTTTCCTGTGGTGGTAGGATGAAATAAATCAATGAAACAAAATGACATTGTATTCAAAAGATCCTAATTGGTCCATGGCAGAGCCTGTTATCCTATATTTATCAACAGACCGAGAACAGAGCTCATTACAAACAAGTACAAGTTATCTGACTATCTTGGATAATTTTCTGGCAGGTACAAAACAATACAGCATGCAGAACTGAAAACATTAATAAGATTACTAAATTAGGATATGGAGTAAGAACTGTTATTTGTGATGTTTGCTTTCACCCGTTTGTCTAGATTGCTGCGTTTTTTAAGAATAGATTTGTACCCAAATCTTCTGCACGGCAAGTTATACATGTGATGTAAGGCTGCCTTGTTTTCACATCAAATCCGTAACACGGTAAACACCAAGCAACAAACAAGAACAAATAAATCTTAATTATGTACTCAGAGTATCATATAATCATCCTGTGTGTTCTTGGTTCCCACAATATCATGTCCATAAGTTGAAAAGTTTGACACAACTAAGCTTTGATTGTCTAACAATTACAAGTTGATAGATAACAGTTGCCTAATGAAAGTAAAATCCAGTGATCGAAAAAAAAATTGATGCACACAAAGTTAAAACAAAGAGAACAATTAAATATTGAAACCTAAACTCCAAAATAACTAAATCTACTTACCTTCAAGGCACAAAACCTGTTCGGTTTAACTTCAAAGTTAGATATATGCTTCATAATGGCATCTAGCAGAATCCGCATTTTGTCATTGTAACCACCTACTGAGACCTTACATAGAAAGTAAAAATGTTTTTAGTTCTAATTCAAACTGTCCTAATAAAGCAACCTCATGATGCATGACAATTCTATCAGACAGCATAACAATTTTACAATGAATTTTTTTTTTGGCTGGAACACTCCTTGGAAACTAAATGAGAACAATAAAGTAGTTCACTGACTAAACCTGGAATCCAGCAGAAGTGCGATATATTGAATAGAATAAACCAGCAATTTGAGCATCATACGCTGCAAAAGGCACAAACATTTTGTAAATTTATGTTTGAACTTACAGTTGGTGGGAGTAGTAATACCCAAATGGGTTATTAATGTACGGATAAATATGCTAATATTTACACTATTTGTGAAGTGGTGCTTACCATATGCATTCAAGTAATCAGCTAACAAATCAACAAAGAGACTCGTAGAAATGACTGCCTCGGGGGAATGGCTTGTTAACGGACAGTGGAAATCAATTATAATGTGAACCTTTGGAGTGGAGAACAGCATGTCAGGCTTATACCACAACCGTGAAAGTGGTGTCTTTCTCAATATTGCTGGATATTTAACCTGCAAACATTTATTTTGTAAGAGATATTTACTATATTCAAGATTCAGCAATTCATTTAGAACTGTGCTAATGTGGGGAAAAAACACAGATGAGGTGATCTGAATCCAACCTTTTCATGCGCTTCTTTGAGCGATAAATCTTTTGGAATGAAAATGTTAGGCTTTGGGATACAGAGCTTCTCAGTAGGAGCTTTTTGAATCCATTGCTGCCAAAGTAGAACAATCACTGACAATATGTTCTAGCATATTATCTCTATGGATTATAACAAGTGTCCACATTCTAACAGTATGTAATGTGCAATAAGATAAGAGGAAAACTCTAGTTCAAAAAATCAAGATTATTCAAAAAGGACAAACCTGTATCATGGAAGGAGTAACATTTTCAACAGAATACGCTGTACTATACCATGGCTCAACAGAATCAGTAGATCCTTTGAACTTTTTAGATTCCCACAGTATCCTGGAGACGGAGAGAGAGAAATATTACATAAAAGGAAGAGGAAAGTCACAATATTTAGCTTCATATGGTATTTTTAAGTGCCAAACTGGATATCTGTCAGCTTGTCAGAAAA